CTATTCCTATCTAATCCTATCTAATCTTATCTAATCCGATCTAATCCTATCTAATCTTTTCCATTCCTATCTAATCTTATCTATTCCTATCTAATCGTCCCTAATCCTATATAATCCTATCTATTCCTATCTATTCCTATCTACCCCTATCTATTCCCATCTATTCCTATCTATTCCGATCTAATCCGATCTACTCCTATCTATCCCTATCTAATCGTCTCTAATCCTATATAATCCTATCTAATTCTATTTAATCCTATATAATTCTATCGAATCCTATCCAATCCTTTTCAATTCTGTCTAATCCTATCTGATCCTATCTATCCTTTTCTAATCCTATCTAATCTTTTTTAATCCTATCTAATCCGATCAAATCCGATCTAATCCTTTCTATTCCTGTCTAATCCAATCTAATCCTATCTCATCCTATTTCACCCTATCTCATCCTATCTCATCCTATCTCATCCTATCTCATCCTATCTTGTCCTATCTCTTCCTATCTCACCCTATCTATCCTATCTATCCTATCTTTCCTATCTATCCTATCTATCCTATCTGTCCTACCTATCCTATCTATCCATCCGTCTTTCTATCTATCTATCTATCTCTCTCTCTCTCTCTATCTCTCTCTCTCTCTATCTCCCCCAATCTATCTGTCTACGTATCAATCTCTCTACGTATCTATCTCTCTACGTATCTATCTCTCTGCGTATCCATCTTTCTACATATCTATCTCTCTACGTATCTGTCTATCCTGTCTACCCTTTCTATCCTGTCTATCCTGTCGATCTCTTGATCTCTCGATCTGTTGACCTGTCTACCTGTCTATCCGTCTATCTATCTGTCCTTCTATCTACCTACATATCTCTAGATAGATAGATAGATAGATAGGTAGATAGATAGATAGGTAGGTAGGTAGGTAGATAGATAGGTAGGTAGGTAGATAGATAGATCTCTCTCTCTCTCTCTTTTTCTCTTTTCTCTTTTCCTGCCTACCTACCTACCTATCTATCTATCCAGCTATCTATCTATCTATCTATCTGTCTGTCTATCTATCTATCTACCTATCTATCTATCTATCTATCTATCTATAGCTATCCATCTATCTGCGTATTTGTCTATCTATCGATCTACCTATCTATCTATCAGTCTACCAACCCATCAATCTATCAATCTATCAATCTATCAATCTATCTTCCTTTCTCTCTCCCTCTCTCACTATCGATGTATCTACCTATCTTTCTATCTTTCTAATCCTTTCTAATCCTTTCTTTCTTATCCTCTCTATCTATCTGTCTATCTGTCTGTCTATCTGTCTATCTACCTATCTATCTAGCTAGCTATCTATCTATCTATCTTTCTTTCTTTCTTTCTGTCTAATCTAACCCAGCCAAACCTAATCTATTTTTTTCTCATCTTATCCTTTCCTATCCTTTCTATCTTTTGCTATCTCTCTTGTCCTTTCTATCTTATCCTATCTATCTTTTCCTTTCTACCTTTTCTTATGTATCTTTTCCTTCTTTCTTGTCTTATCTATGTTATCCTTTCTATCCTTCTTACTCTTTCTATCTGTCTTATCCTTTCTATCTATCTATGTTATTCTATCTATCTTGCCCTTTCTACCTATCTTATCCTATCTTATCCTATCTTATCCTATCTTGTCAGATCTTGTCCTATCTTATCCTATCTTTCTTTCTGACCCTATCGTATCCTATCTTATCCTTCTTGATCCTGCCTGACCCTTTCTTAACCTATCTTATCCGACCTTATCCTTTCTTATCCTATCTTATCCTTCTTGATCCTACCTGACCCTTTCTTATCCTATCTTATCCGACCTTACTATCCTATCTGTCCTATCTATCCTACCTACCCTATCCATCCTATCCCTCCTTTCTTTCCTATCTATTCTAAACACCCTATCTATCTTAGTACCTATCTTAGTACCTATCTTAGTACCTATCTTAGTACCTATCTTAGTACCTATCTTAGTACCTATCTATCCTATCTATCCTATCTATCCTATCTATCCTATCTATCTACATATCTATCTATGTATCTATCTTTCTATCTATCTATCTATCTTTCTATCTATCTATCTACCTGTCTGTCTGTCTGTCTGTCTGTCTATCTGTCTCTCTCTCTGTCTGTCTGTCTGTCTGTCTGTCTGTCTATCTGCCTATGTGTCTATGTGTCTATGTGTCTATGCGTCTATGTGGCTATGTGCCTATGCGTCTATGTGTCCATTTGTCTATGTGTCTATGTGTCGTTGACGGCCTCGTGCCAATGCGTTTGGCGATTTTTCCACTCCACCTGCCTAAAGTACTGTGCCTGCCACGAAAAAGTGATGCCAGGTCATACGAAGTGCTGCACCTGTCACGCAAAATCATCTCAGCAAACCTGAAGAGCTGATGCTCCAAAATGCAACCCCTCTCAGGAAATCAGCGCCCTGGCCTCCTGACATGTCTGACTCATGTGTCCTTTGCTTTTCGCCTGCCGTGCGAAAAGCATCTGTGCAGAGCCTCGTCAAACGTCCCACGCTGCCATCGTGTTTGAAACTGCTGCAAAACCACACGTTTGACTCGCTTTTCACAAGGTGCAGAATCCATTGCGCCTGCCATGCAAAGCGGCGCTGGAACGTGCAAAAGTGGTCTGAAAGTGGTCCCAACCCGAACTCGTGTAGGCAGGTAGAGAGAGAGAGAGAGATAGAGAGAGAGATAGAGAGAGAGAGGTTTGGATATGGATATGGATGGATGGATGCACGGATGATGCACACATGTTTGAAGGAAACTTTAGCACAATTGCTTACTTTCAGATAGGCAGATAGATTGACAGATAAAGAAAGGGAAAGAGAAAGAACGAGAGAAACAGAAAGAGAAAGGGAAAGGGAGATAGAGATGGAGAGAGAGAGAGAGGGAGATAAAGAGGGAGAGAGCGAGAGAGAGATAGATGGAGAGAGATCGAGACAGATAGCCAAGGAGATAGAGAAACGGATAGTCGGGGAGACAGATAAACAAAGACAGAGGAAAATGGAGACAGAGGAAAAAAAAACGAGACACGACAGAGAGACTCAGAGCCTCGACCACGTTTTGGTCCACCATGGCGCTGCCATCCATGCATCGCAAGAACCCACCTCTCCTATAGGTTTTCTATCTTTGAAACTTCCGCCACCGCCTTGTGCAGTACTACTGGTACTATATGTACATGGTACATATTATTGTTGTACATGTGTTTGGCGTTTTGTCATTCTCCACAAACTCTGCAGCTCTTCACAATGGATGGCGGCTGCATCATTCACAACTTGGGTTCCGGCACGGGCTACTCTGCCCGTGGCTTAAGCATTCTTTGGCATCTTGAGCAAGATGTGTTTCAGAAAAAGAAATGGGAGACAGCACAGACCCAATCGGAAAGGCGTGGAAACGTCTGGAAAGACGCAGGAGAACCTGATCCATCTTGATCCACTTCCAAGATCTTCTAAGGTCCTCGACATGGTGAAAGCCTTCGAGGCACCAGAAAGTGAAGTTCTGTGCCATTCCGTGCTGAAGGAAGTGCAGTTGAAGTTCCCAGAACCAATAATGCAGAGCTCTCCAAATGTCTGCAGGAGGCAAGTGGAAAGAAGATTGCGTACAAGGTAGACCAATTGATGGTTCCGAAACGCTTTGGGCACCGAGCGTAGAGACTGTGCGCTGCATGGGAGATATTTTAAACTTGTGCTGCATGGATCGTCGCGCTGTCAAAACAACGGTTGCATCAAGTTGCATCAAGTTGCTTCAAGTTGCTTCATATATATAATATAGTATATATAATATCATATACATATATGATTTAATATATATATATATTTATTAGTATATATATAATATAATATATATATATATAATCAATATATAATTATATATATATAAACATAAATAATATAATATACATATATATATATACAAATAATGTAATTTACATATATATATAATACAATATATATATATAATTTAATTTTCATATATATATATACATATATGCAAAATGATATACATATATATATATATTTAATACAATATATACATATAAATATAACATATGATTTGATATATATATATAATAATAATATAACATATGTTTATGCAATAAATAGATAATTTAATGTAATATATATATACATTTGTTAGATTTGTTAGATTTTGTTAGCAACTTTTAGCAACCAGCACAGGTTGTCGAGAGAAGAGCTGGTGATCTTGGCACGGTCATAGCCGACGCCTCGAAGGTTGGCACCGGGTGAGTCAAACTTCAGGCCGCTTCTTCAGCACGTGCTTGTCACAGGCCAAAGCGGATTTCGGGTGGCAGACCAAGCGAGGCTTGAAGGTCAGGTGCTTCTTGAATGAATTGGAATCACTTTGATCATTTTGCAAGTTGATTTATTTTGCTCTAGTGAATTTCAAGTGCTTCTCGCTTCCCTATTTCCTGTGCTTTCTCTACGCAAGCCAGGAGATGTGCGAAAGCGCCTGGAATTGGCAGTCAAAGAACCCCTATGGCTATGAGGATGGCCCTGGCAAGGAGTGGGCGAGTGGCTGCACGTGGCTGGAGTTTGGCGTTTGGTCGTTTTAGGTTTGCTGAAGGGCCAAAGGCATGACTCCTCTGTTTAAAAATGTTTTAAGTATATGATGTATATGTCCATAATTGCATATATATATATATATAGAATTATTCAATTTTGTAGTAGTTGCTGGCCCAAGACCCCAAGGTGATCAATCAGGGAACATTGAATGCGGAATTGAACACACCTACAAAGTTTTGATGTTTTTGGAACAGAAGGGAGGATGAGGGGGGGGTGAAGGCGTGCACATTGTAGAAACGCGCATGTTTTGCACTATCTGCTTAAAATCATCCTGTCTGCTGATCTGCTTCCATTCCTGGAGCTTGGATCTATCCCAAACTCTCATACAAACAATCCAATTTTTAAAAAAGGAAAAGCAGCCCCAAAACCCATGGAAAAACAAAAAACAAGGTGGGCCAGAGAACCCAAAAGCAAGACGGCACACAGCACGCCTTTTTTTGAAAATGTTGTGGTGTGGGCAGCTGTGCTCTGGAAGAAATCGATGTAAGATCTTCACTGAAACATCGTGCGCACTGATGGTATCAGGGGCCACAATTCACCACAGCATGCTGTGTCAGCTACGTCTACATTCTTCTAGTCGCTATTGCTTCTAATGTAATTAACTTTATCCCATCTTTCTAGTCGCTATTTATTTCTGGGTTCTCGTTTAGTTTGCTTCGCCGCAGAGGGAGCGAGGACGAAGCGTGGACGGACAGAACACCGTGCGAAATGAAAACTAAACGACGGAGGGAGTTGACCAAAAGAGCATAAAAACGAAGATATGAAGGTGACAGATGGTGGAGGATCATGAAAAATGAGACATGATGAAAGATGGGTAAAGACTTCTCTGTACAAAAGCCTCTTTGCATAAAAGCTTCTGTATGTAAAAGCTTCTGTGGGTAAAAACTTCTCTGTGTAAAGGTTTTTGGTGTAAAAGCTTCTGTGTGTAAAAGCTTCCGTGTAAAACGTCCTCTGCGTGTAAAAGTTTCTGTTTGTGAAAGTTTCTTTGCGTACCAGCTTCTGTCTCTAAAAGCTCCTCTGTGTCAAGGTGTTGTTTGTGTAAAGCTTCTGTGTGCAAAATTTCTCTGTGTAAAAGACTTCTCTGTGTCAAAGCCTCTGAGTGTACAAGCTTCTCTGTGTAAAAGTTCCTCTGTGTACAAGCTCCTCTGTGAAAAAGCTGCTCTGTGTAAAAGGCTCCTCTGTGTAAAAGCCTCTGTGTGTGCAAGCTTCTCTGTGTCAAGACTTCTTTGTGTAAAGATTTCTCTGTGTAAAAACTACTCTGTGTAAACGCTACTGTGTGTAAAAGCTTTCCCGTGTAAACGCCTCCGTGTGTAAAGACTCCTCTGTGTAAACCCGTCTGTGTGTCAAAGCTCCTTTGTGAAAAGGTTTTTTTTGGTGGAAAAGCTTCTGTGTGCAAAAGCTTCTGTGTGTAAAAGTTTCTGTGTGTAAAAGCTTCTGTGTGTAAAGGTTTTTGTGTGTAAAAGCTTCTGTGTGTGTTAAAAAACCTTCTGTAAAAGCTTCTTCTGTGTAAAAAAGCTCCCCTGTGTGTACAAGCTTCGCTGCGTAAAAGCTGCTCTATGTAAAAGTTCTGTGCGCCGTAAAGTTGTCTGTTTGTAAAACCTCCTGTGTGTGAACGGGTCTGTGTGTACAAGATTCTGTGTGCAAAAGCTCCTCTGTGTAAAGACTTCTCTGTGTAAACGCGTCTGTGCGTAAAGGCTTCCGCCCAATGGTCATCATCTGCACCACTATCATCACTATCTGCATCACTGACCATCGAAAAATATGAAACATCATTGAAACATCAATTCCTTGTCAGAACGCCACCAACTTGCCAGGCTCATCCAGGCTCAAAAGATCTCACCACTTTTAGCTCACAGCATCTCACAGCTCTTCCTCCTCGTCATCGTCCTCCGGGTGGCACATCCTCAGGCTGGGCACCCTGTGTAAGACTTCGCTGTGTAAAAGCTACTTTGTGCAAAAGGTTCTGTGCGTAAAAGGCTTCTGTGTGCAAAAGCTCCTCTGTGTAAAGGCGTCTGTGCGTAAAAGCTCCTCTGTGTAAGACTTTAAGACTTCTCGGTGCACAAAGCTTCTAAGCGTGAAAGTTTCTGTGTGTAAAAGCTTTCCTGGGTAAAAGTTTTCTTGTGCAAAAGCTCCTGTGTGTAAAAACTTCTCTGTGTAAAGGCTTTTTTGTGTAAAAGCTTCTGTGTGTACAAGCTGCTCTGTCTAAAAGTTTCAGTGCGCCGAAAGCGTGTCTATTTGTAAAACCTTCTGTGTGTAAACGTGTCTGTGTGTGTAAAAGCTTCTGTGTGTAAATCTCCTTTGTGTAAGGACTTCTCTGCGTAAAGGCTCCTCCGTGTCAAGACTTCTCTGTACAAAAGGCTTCTCTCTGTAAAAGCCTTTGTGTGTACAGGCTTCTCTGTCTCAAGACTTCTCTGTGTAAAGACTTCTGTGTAAAAGCTACTCTGTGCAAAAAAGCTTCTGTGCGTAAAGGCTTCTGTGTGCAAACGCGTCCTTGTGTCAAGACCCCTCTGTGTAAACGCGTCTGTGTGTCAAAGTTTCTGTGTGAAGGCTTTTTAGTGTAAAAACCTCTGAGTGTAAAAGCTTCTGTGTGTAAGACCTTCTCTGTGTAAAGGGCCCTTTCCCGTGCAGAAGCTTTCTGCGTGTGAAAGCTTTTCTGTGCGTAAACGTTTTTTGTGTGTAAACACTTTGTGTGCAAAAACTCATCTATGTAAAGACTTATTTGTGCAAACCCGTCTGTGCGTAAAAGCTCCTCTGTGTAAGACTTCTTGGTGAAAGAAGTTTCTCAGTGTAAAAGCTTTCCTGTGTAAAAGCTTTCCTGTGTAAAAGCTTCCTTGTGCAAAAGCTCCTGTGTGTAAAAACTCTCTGTGTAAAGGCTTTTTTTGTGAAAACGCTTC